ACGAGCGGAGCCAATTTGAAAGCAACTAAATGAGATTTGTTAAGTAACAAGACAAGGAAGGATGTACGCTCTTCATGTCTTGTCCACTCATTGTCTCCATGGAGGGAGACACTCCTTCATCCTGAGGAGGGAGGACAGCAGCGGTGGGAGCCTGCAAAACCGGAGGCTGTCTCTCTGGGAACCAGCTTAAGAAGGTGTTCCAATTTTGGCAAAACAATTGCACATGTGCCCCCTGGCCCATTAGCTTAATGTGGGCCTCCTTGCTCTTCACCCTTGGTAAATCACTATCTAAACAAATAATTTCTTTTGTAAAGATCAGCACAAAGCTGGTTTTTCTGAGGCGGAGGTTAAAGATGTCCCGAATGTCCAACTTTTCCAAGATGTTGTACTAGTCCATCATCTCTAACATCAACTACTCCCATCACGCTCAGCGCTTTCCCTCGCCTCTCACAGAGTTCATGAATGAAAGAAATGTTTCATGCAGTTGTGGAGGGTGGCAAGTCTCAAATTCATGGGTCAGGCATAGGTTTCTTCCGACCCCCGTGGCTACAGGAGCTGATGAACCCAAACTGCAGTTCAGACAACAGGCTGCTGGCTCACAAGGCTGCAGAAGCTGGTGAATCAGGTCCTGTTATAGGCCTCTGGCCCAAGGACGAGTGGAGGCCAACGAATCCCAGAATTGGCAGGTCGAACAGCAGACATCTGGGAAGGTCAGCTGATGACAAACCAGATGCGGGATCCAGATGCAGAGAGAGAGAGCCTCTCAGGACACACACATATATCTTAGATGCAAGCCATATCCCAGGGAAGGGCATAACTTTAGTAAGGGTAGGGCCTGAGTCACGCCCTCCTGCAAGGCTGCCACCCAAGACCCGACTTATACCAATCCTGCCTCATCAACACATAGAGGTTAGGATCCACAACACAAATATGAAGGACAACCACACAATACTGGGAATCATGGCCTAGCCAAGTGGACACATAACCCCAACCATCACAGGTTCTAAATACCTTATTTGCATCATCCCACTCAGTCACTGCATGTGAGTCCTAAAGACCATGGCTAGAAGGGCCATGTTGAGTAATTCATTGCACCGCACTACCTCTCTGGGCAGCTTCTCTATCTGTCAAGTAAAGTACACTAGACCCTCTCTCTCAAAGTGTGGTCCCTGGACCAGCAGCATTGGCTGCCTGTGGGAGCTGGTTTGAAACAATTTTGGGCTCCACCCCAAACCCTCTGAATCGGCACTTGTGTTTTCACAAGATCCCCTAGATGACCTTGAAGCATTTTACCAGCATCTTGACCATCCTCAGCCCCGAAGAATGTTGAGGGCCCCAGGGGCCTGCCCGAACCAATGGGTCGTGTTAGACTCTGGGGCCCAGATCCTGTGGGGGAACTCTGGGAGGGGCGGCTCTGTCTTCAGCACAGCTCTTTGTGCCTCTGCAGTCTGCCATTGTACCGAGGCATGGTTCATATAGCAACTCCTCCCTACTGCTCCTCAGACCTTCGGTGCAGAGGGGCTCACACTGTGGGTGAGTGGGACAGGGAGGACATACAGAGCCCAATATAGTGTGGGGCCAGTATGAGCCACACAGCCAGCACAATGCCTACTGTGTCACATTACGTCATGTCCCTGGCCCTTTAAGATACAGACAATACTGACTGAAACCCATCCCCCTACTCCCTACTGGTAGGAAGTCAATGCTCTCCCCAAGACGTCTGCAGGTTCTCAGGTGGTCTTAGATCCTCCCTAAGCCACCGCTGGTTCCAAGCTCCTGCTGCCCCAAAGGCTCCCTGTTCTGAATACATGGGCCAGGTGTGCGTTTCTGTCCCTTCCCCTCATTTCCACTCTAACGGACATAGGGTTTTCCGGTGGCATACTTAGGTGGTGGTGATTGCTGTTAGGTGCCATCGAGCCCATTCCAACTCATAGTGACCCTATGTACAACAGAACAAAACGCTGCCTGGTTCTATGCTATCCTCACAATTGTTGCTATGTTTGAGCCCATTGTTGTAACCACTGTGTCAACCCACCTCACTGAGGGTGTTGCTCTTTTTTGTTGACCCTCTAGATAACATGTCCAAATTTCATGAGATTAAGTCTTGCCATCTTTGCTTCTAAGGAGAATTCTGGCTGTATTTCTTCCAAGACAGATTTGTTTATTTTTCTGGCAGTCCATAGAATATTCAATATTCTTCACCAACACCATAATTCAAAGGCATCAATTCTTCGGTCTTCCTTCAATTCATTGTCCAGGTTTTGCATGCATATGAGGCAATTGAAAATACTATGACCTGGGTCAGACACACCTTAGCCCTCAAGGTGACAGCTTTGCTTTCTAACACTTTAAAGAGGTCTTTTGCAGCAGATTTGCCCAGTGCAATAAAGCCTTTGATTTCCTAACTGCTGCTTATATGGGCATTGATTGTGAATCCAAGTCAAATGAAAGCCTTGACAACTTCAATCTTTTCTCCCTTTATCATCATGTGGTTTATTGGACCAGTTCTGAGGATTTTTGTCTAGTTTATGTTGAGGTGTAATCCATACTGAAGGCTGTAGTCTTTGATCTTCATCAGTAAGTGCTTCAAGTCCTCTTTGGTTTCGGCAAGCAAGGTTGTGTCATCTGCATATCGAAGGTTGTTAATGAGCCTTCCTTCAATCCTGATGCTGTGTTCTTCCTCATATAGTCCAGCTTCTCATTATTTGCTCAGCATACAGAGTGAATAAATGTGGTGAAAAGGTGCAACCCTGAAGCACACTATTCTTGACTTTAAACCACACAGTATCCCCTTGTTCTGTTTGAACAACTGCCTCTGGGTCTAAGTACAGGTTCCTCCTGAGCACAATTAAGCATTCTGGAATTTCTATTCTTTGCAATGTTATTCATAATTTGTTATGATCCACACAGTTGAATGCCTTTGTGTAGTCAAACACAGGTAAACTTCTTTCTGGTATTCTCTGCTTTCAGCCAAGATCAATCTGACATCAGCACTGACATCCTTCGCTCCGCAATCTTGTCTGAATCCAGCTTGAATTTCTGGCAGTTCCCTGTTGATGTACTGCTGCAACCTCTTTTGAACAATCTTCACCAAAATTTTACTTGTGTGTTATATTAATGATATTGTTCGATAATTTCTGCATTCGGTTGGTTCACCTTTTTTTGAAATGTGTACAAATACGGATCTCTTCCAGTTGGTTGTCCAGCTAGCCGTCTTCCAAATTTCCTGGCATAGACGAGTGAGCACTTCAAGTGCTGCATCCATTTGTTGAAATATCTGAATTAGTATTCCGTCAATTCTTGGAGCCTTGTTTTTTGACAATTGCCTTCAGAGCGGCTTCGACCTCTTCATTCAGTACCATCAGTTCTTGATCATATGTTACCTCCTGAAATGGTTGAATGTCGACCAGTTCTTTTTGGTGCGGTGACCCTGTATTCCTTCCATCTTCTTTTGATGCTTCTTTCCTTGTTTAATATTTTCCCTGTAGAATACTTGAATATTGCAATTCAAGGCTTGAATTTTTTCTTCAAGTTCTTTTCAAGTTCTTTCAACTTGAGAAATGCCAAGCGTGTTCTCTTCTGGTTTTGTATCTCCAGGTCTTTGCACAGGTCATTATAATACTTTACTTTGTCTTCTCAAGCTGCCCTTTGAAACCTTCTGTTCAGCTCTTTTACTTCATTATTTCTTCCATTTGCTTTTGCTACTCTACCTTCTAGAGCAACTTTCAGAGTCTCTTCTGACATCCATTTTGGTCTTTTCTTTCTTTTTTGTCTTTTTCATAAGCTCTTGCTTTCTTCATGTGTGATATCCTTGATGTCATTCCACAACTCGTCTGGTCTTATGTTCAGTGCATCAAATCTGTTCTTGAGAGGGTCTCTAAATTCAGGTGGGATATACTCAAGGTTGTACTTTGGCTCAGGTGGACTTGTTCTACTTTTCTTCAGCTTCAGATTGACTTGTATATGAGCAATTGATGGTCTGCTCCACAGTCGGCCCCTGTCCTTGTTCTAACTGATAATATTGAGCTTTTCCATTGTCTGTTTCCACAGATGTAGTTGATTTGATTCCTGGGTATTCCATCTGGTGAGGTCCATGTGTATAGTCACTGTTTAGGTTGTTGAAAAGAGGTATATTTGCAATGAAGGAGTCATAGGTCTTGTAAAATTCTATCATGGATATCCAGTGTCGTTTCTGTTACCAAGGCCACATTTTCAAACTCCGGATCTTTCTTTGTTTCCACATTTCTTATTCCAATCACCTGTAATTATCAGTGCATCTTGACTGCATGTTTGATTAATTTCAGACTATAAAACCTGGTAAAAATCTTCAAGTTCATCATCTTTGGCCTTAGCGGTTGGTGTGTAAATTTGAATAATATTCATATTAACTGGTTTTTCTTGTATGTGTATGGACATTATCCTGCCACTGACAGAGTTGTACTTCAGGATAGATCTTGAAATGTTCCTTTTGATGAATGCCACACCATTCCTCTTCAATTTGTCATTCCTGGCATAGTAGATCATATGAGTGTCTGATTCAAAATGGCCAATACCAGTCCATTTCAGCTCACTAATGCCTAGGATATTGATATTTATGGATTATATTTCGTTTTTGACGACTTCCAATTTTCCTAGATTCATACTTCGTGCATTCCACGTTCAGATTATTAACAGATGTTTGCAGTTGTTTCTTCTCATTTTAAGTCGTGCCACATCAGCAGATGAAGGTCCCCATCATTCCAATCTGAGGGGCTCATCTTCTAGCACTATATCAGACAATGTCCCTATGCTATTCATAAGGTTTTCACTGGCCAATTTTTTCAGAACTAGACAACCAGCTCCTTCTTCCTAGTCTGTCTAGTCTGGAAACTCCATTGAAACCTGTCCACCAAGGGTGACCCTGCTGGTATTTGAAATACCATTGGCATAGCTTCCAGCATCACAGCAACACGCAATCCCCCACAATACCACAAACTGACAGACACGTGGTGGATGCTTACCTTGGCTTACTGGGTACTCTATCCCTGTCAGGTATTGTATTTGAAAAGAGGCTTTGAATCTGTAGGATGGTGTTGTGGGGCTGGGAGAGAGACAGATGCCAGCCATACCTAGAAGCAGAACCCTTGATGAGGTAAAAAAAAAAAAAAAAGGTGAAATTGTTCACAACAGATTAATTGTTCACTACAGATTAATAAGTAACTACAAGAGAAGCCCGTGCTTACCTTGCTTATTGGGTCATCTGCCCCTGGGGTAGACTTTGCCCCTTCTTCCTGGGCAAAGCAGAGAAGTCAGACAGAAATCCCAGCTCTATGATTTATTAGCCATGGACCTCTTCCTCTCAGTTTCTTTGTCTGTAAAACGGACATAACTCCTAGCATTGATGTGAATATTAAACAGCAAAATGCTTGTAAAGTGTCCACACAGTGCCCTGCTCACAGTCAGCACTCTGTTGGTAGGAACCAGGCAGGAAGGACAGTTTTTTTTTGATGCTCACACCTTTCTGAGTTGCTAGAAATCTGACTTCCTGTAAACTACCTCCAATGGTGTGAAGAAGCTCTGTTGTCAAGTGGAAATGAATCGCGACAGAAAACAGCAGCTTTCTCTGTGCACATACGCACACATTTCCGAGTCCATCCAAATGGCTTGACCACCAAAGATGGGCCTTGGGATCCAGGTGTGGTCCCTGCCATCAAGAACTAGTCTAGAGAGACCCATGACTCAAAGGGGTAGTATGAGAACACAGTTCTTTCAGCTGGATTTAAGGTGTACCCCCCTCCAAGGTTCCATGGTGCAGAGCGGGGGGCAGTGGACTCTGCCAGGGAGGATGCTGGAGGACTTCTCAGAGGAGGTGATGCCTGACTGGGCTTTGAAGGATGGGCATGGTTTTTCCAGGCTGTAGGAGGCCCTGGGTGGGGCACACAGTTAACGGCTCAACTACTAGCTGAAATGTTGGCATTTCAAGCCCACCCAGAGGTACCTCAGAAGACAGGCCTGGTGAACTGCTTCTGAAAGGTCACACCATTGAAAACACTATGGGGCAGTTCTACTCTGCACACATGGGGTCGCCATGAGTCGGAATTGACTCGATGGTAACTAACAACAAGAGAAGCAGGTACTCCTGGCAATAAACCTGCATCCACAAATGTCTAGGAGCAGCAAGGCCATGGCATTCAAGGAGGTATGCGGGGAGCGCCTGGTATGTGCAGGACGGTGCTAAGTGCTGGTGACCCAGAGGCGAACAGGCAAGGATGCTGGGGAGGGTTACGGGAGGGTGGGGCTGGGGATGAGTCCATGAGGGGCAGGGGGAGTCATTTGTTGCGGGCCGCACAGCCAGTTAGTGGCAAGTTTTGGCCTGACACCGGAGCACCTCTCCTTCCGGAAGACCCTGCAGATCCCCAGGAGGTGAGGCGTGATGGGCTGAGTCTGAAAGGGCCTGGAACGTCAGGCCGGGGTTTATTCCTCTCAGTGGCAGCCAAGGGGGTGGGACTGGGCTGAGGGTGGTGCTGCTGGCAGGCATACTTTCTAAAGTGTTTGTCCTGAGCTGCTCTGAGGTTGCGGCTTTCAGTTTCCTTTTCTAATTCTCTAGTGTAGCTGGAGATGCAGAGGATGTGTCTGGTGACTGCACAGACACTCAGGCCCTCAGGCTGGCGTCCGGGTCCACATGCCTAAGAACAGCCAGATCTTACTCAAACTTCAGAAGGGGCCGATTCTTTGGTAAGTTGGGGGTATGGGTAGGGGGGAGGGTTATGACCCACCATCCCATCCTCACAACAACTCTTAAGAAAAGGATTATCGTCATCCTTTCTCAGATGAGGAAAAATCAAAGCTCAGAGAGGCTAGATAATGGGTCTGAGGTCACACAGCTAAGTTATCGCAGCCTCATATCTGAATGCAGATTTGTCTGCCCCCTCCCTCCTACTGTGACCCTGAGGAGTGGTGGATGGAGGACAGCTCAGATGGGTTACAAACCTCCTCTGGGCTCAGCATGGGTTCCCAGCTGCCTGAGACCTGGCCATCTGACCCCAGAAGGAAGGTAGGTGCTGGTGTATCCGACCCTTTGGGCACTTTGGAGGAAGCAGAGGAGGGGGAGAAGGGGTGGTGAGCCAAGCCCTGAGGCTGCCTCCAGCTGCTGCTGCTGAGGCCTGATGGGGGCAAAGGACTTCTTTGGAGGTGCAAGGAATCCAGAGATTGTTCCACCTACCCTGTCTGAGAACCTGCTCTGTGCCTGGCTCTTTGGGGGAAACTGAGGCCCTGAGAGGGCGGGGACTGGGCCAGAGTGCCTTGCCCAAGGGATGATAGGCCGAGCAGGGAGATGGCAAGACTCCAGCCCCTGCACCCCACAAGCCCCCTCTTCAGGACTGCAGAATGATTGGAAAAGAGAGTGGAAGTCCTGTGTGTCTGGAATCGAAAGATGGCGCAGACATAGGGTGTGAGGAGGGCACATTATGTAATGGTATCCACAGTGCCCTCCCGGCTTTGTGACCTTAAAATAAAAGACCAAACTGCATATGTGTGAGTATAACCTTTGGAGTGTGTGCTTAGATCTGTGTGTTTGTAGAAGCAGAGACAAACATGGAAGGCATAGACCAAGCTGTTACCAGAGGTAAGGATGTCTGTGGGGTCAGAATAGAGTTTTGCTTCTTTAGAAATTTTTGTCTTAAATCCCAGAGTCAGAAGGCCTGGTGCTGGCATCCACTCAGCTCACCAAGAGCCGTGAGAACCTGGGTAAATCACTTTCCCTCTCTCGGCCTCAGTTTCTTCAGCTGAGAAATGGGGTTAGAGTTCTCTGCTCTGTTGACCCCATGGCCGACTTCTGGCAATGCCTGGGCAGTGGGAGTGAGGGGGAAGTAGGGGTCGTGGGGAACTGGGGTGAACTGGAAGCACCCTCGGATGCAGATGAGGGTTGCCGGGTGATGTGTGGGCCCAATTTAGCAGATCTCTCATTTAAGAGGTGCTCAGAATTACAGATTTTTTGGTGTAACAGTTTCAAAGTTGAAATGCTGACAACCAAATAAAAAGATTTAAACTTTGAGCATGGCTCCTCTTCCCCTCCCCAGCCCCGTCCTCCCCTCTTCCTTCGGTGCTGGTCTCCTCCCCGCCACACCCTAGTGGGGAGACATAGCTCTGTGGAGTCTCACATTTTCATTTCCTGTTACAGGCTACCCCCAGTTTCTACTTGCCCTTGAGTTGAAACTGCCTCAAGGTAACTCCATGTGTGTCAGAGTAGAACTGTGCTCTATAGGGTTTTCAATGGCTGATTTTTCATAGATCACCAGGCCTTTCTTCCTAGGCACGTCTGTGTTGACTTGAACCCCCAACCTTTCGATCAGCAGCTGAGCATTTAACCATTTGTGCCCCCCAGGGACTTTTACAGGCTACTAAGTGTAGCTTATTATATGCCACATCTTTTTCCTCCTCATTCTTTTTAATGGCTCCAGAGTATTCCCTAGTATGAGTGGACCCTAATGGATCTATCTGCTCCCTTGTTGTTATATGTCATCTAGCTGATTCCAACTCGCAGCGACCCTATATGACACAGTAGAAGTGCCCCATAGGGTTTCCTATGCTGTCATCTTTACAGAAACAGACTGCCACATTGTTCTGCAGAGCAGATGGTGGGTTCTAACCTCTGACCTTTGGGTTAGCAGCCCAGTGCTTAAGCATTGCACCACCAGAGGTCCTCATCTACTCCTTTAGGAGTGGACATTTAGTTACGTCCCTCTCTTTTGGTGTTAAATACGACGCTGCACTAAACATCCTAAAATCCATGTGCTTGCACACTTAGCCTGTGGTCTCTGTTGCTTAGAGACCTAGGAGTGGGTTGCTGGGGCAGAAAGTAGGCACTCGTTAGGATTTGTGGGCACTGCTAGGTTATCCTCCAAAACCCTGAAACCTTTTATACTCCTGTCTACAGGGAATGAGGGAGTGCTGCTCACCCCCTCGCCAACTGGACGTTATACGTACGTCCTTTTACTTTTCAAAAATGTGTCTCTTTGTATTAACTTTCATTTTTTGAATTTTGTGTAAAAATGAGTATCTATTCATATGTTAAGTATTCATCTGTGTTTCTTCTTCTGGGAATTATCAGTTTATATCACTTACCTACTCTTTAAAACTTGGTTTCAGTCTTTGCGTGTTGATTTGCAGGATCTTTGCGTTGAATGGACATTCACATTTTGCCTACTATGAGCATTGCCAATGTTTTCTCCTGGTTTATTGTATTCTGGCTTTGTTTATGGTGTTCTTTGCCATTATTATTTTGAAGACTTCCTTTATGTCTTCTGGAATTTGTGCCTTGATTAGAGAGATTTCTCCAGCTCAACATTATTTTTATCATTTCTTCTACTATGTTTTTAAGTTTTTTCTTTCTCGTTTACCTTTCGATCTTTAATCCCTTTGGGTTTGTTTGTTTGTTTGTTTCGGTAGAAGTCTTTTTTTTTTAATGTAAGACACATTTAGTGAGTACCTACTGGAAACAAAAATGAACAAGATGTCTTTTATGCCTTCCGAAGAGCCTCCAGTGCAATAGGAAAAGGATTTCCACTCTCTCCCCGCAAAAGATCCTACAAGCAATTAGTGACCAAGAATGGGATGAGACTGAAGGCACCTGGGTCCCTGACAGGGACCTGGGCTCCAAGGCCCCAGTGAAAGAGAAAGCTTTGGAATATTTGAATATTCAAATTTTAGCTGAGACCCACGTCTTTGCACAATTCTCTCTTCCTTTTTCTCCTCATATAAAAATACTAAGGCTGAAGGAAGGTCTTAGGCTGGATTCTCTAGAGAAGCAAAACCAATAAAGTGTATAAATATATATATAGAGAGAGAGAGACAGATTGTATCAAGGAAACAGCTCACGTGATTGTAGAGGCTAGAACATCCCAAGTCCGTGGATCAGGGTAGAGGCCTCTCCCAAGTCACACAGCGGCAGAATCTGCCAAGCCCAAGACTGGCAGGTCAGAGAGCAGGGCTCCCGCTCACAGGCTGTGCAGATCGACGAATCCTAGGTTCGGCAGACAAGCTGACAGATCAAATCCCAAGAACGGAAGATGAGATGACAGGAAGTAGCTGCAGGATCCAGCGAGAGCAAAAAGCCAGAGCGACTGCTTATATACAGATGTGGGCCACACCCCCAAGGAGGGTCCCTTTCATCTGATTGGCTACTCACAGTATATTCAATCATGGGAGTGATTACATTAAAACACTGAGAATCATGGCCCAGCCAAGCTGACACACAATCTTAACCATCACAGAAGGGAACACAAGGAGATAATGGAAACACTCAGAAAAAAGATGCTGCTTGTTGTTGGCTGCCCTCCAGTTGATTCTGACTCACAGTGACTCACGATAGAAGTGTCAAAAGTACATTAGAACGGAAAGGGAAGAGGCCCTGAATAAGTAAAGCACTACTGAAGAAGAACAAAGTTGGAGGACTCGCACTACCTGACTTCAGAACCTACTATACAACTACAGTAGTCAAAACAGCCTGGTACAGGTACAACGACAGATACATTGACCAATGGAACAGAATGGAGAACCCAGATGTAAATCCATCTACAGTCACCTGATCTTCAACAAGGGTCCAAAGTCCATCCAATGGGGAAAAGAGTCTTTTTAATAAATGGTGCTGGCAAAACTGGATGTCCATCTGCAAAAAATGAAGGAGGACCCATGCCTCACACCATACACAAAAACTAATTCAAAATGGAACAGAGACCTAAATATAAATCCAAAAATTATAAAGATCATAGAAGAAAAAAATAGGAGCAATGCTAGAGGTCCTAATACACGGCATTAACAGGATGCAAAGCATAACTAATGACACACAAACTCCAAAAGATAAGCTAGATAACTGGGATCTTCTAAAAATTAAACACTTATGCTCATCAAAAGACTTCACCAAAAGATTAAAAAGAGAACCTACAGAGTAAGAAAAAATTTTGAGCTATGACAAATGTGACAAAAGTCTCATCTCTAAAATCTACAGGAAAATCCAACACCTGTATAACAAAAAGACAAATAATCCAATTAAAAAATGGGAAAGAGAAATAAACAGTCATTTTAGCAAAGAAGACATTCAAGTGGCTAACAGACACTGAGGAAATGTGATCACTAGCCATTAGAGAAACGCAAATCAAAACCACAATGACATACCACCATGTCACCCCAGCAATACTGGCACACACACACAAAAAAAAAAACAGAAAATAACACATGTTGGAGAGGCTGCGGGGAGATTGGAACTCTTATGCACTGCTGGTGGGAATGCAAAATGGTACAACTATTTTGGAAAATCATGTTGCACTTCCTTAGAAAGCTAGAAACAGAAGTATCATATGATCTAGAAATCCCACTTCTAGGAATATATCCTAGAGAAATAAGAGCTGTCACATGAATAGAAATATGCACACTCATGTTCATTGCAGCGTTGTTCACAACAGCTAACAGATGGAAACAACCTAGGTGCCCATTAACAGATGAATGGATAAACAAACTATGGTACACACACACAGTGGAGTACTATGAAATGATAACGAACAATGATGAATCTGCGAAGCATCTCACAACATGAGTGAATCTGGAGGGCATTATGCTGAGTGAAATAAGTCAATCACAAAAGGACACATACTGTATGAGACCACTACTATGAAAACTCATGAAAAGGTTTACACACAAAAAGAAACAATCTTTGATGGTTATGAGGGGGGGTGGGGTGGGGATGGAAAAACACTAAATGGACAATAGGTAAGTGGTAACTTTGGTGAAGGGTAAGAAAGTACACAGTACTGGGGAAGCCAGCACAACTTGCCCAAGGCAAGGTCACGGAAGCTCCATAGACACATCCAAACTCCCTGAGGGACCGAATTACATGGCTGAGGGCTGTGGGGACCATGGTCTTGGGGAACATCTAGCTCAATTGACATAAACATTGTCTATAAAGAAAATGTTCTACATTCTACTTTGGTGAGCAGCGTCTGGGGTCTTAAAAGCTTGTGAGTGGCCATCTAAGATACTCCACTGGTTTCACCCCGTCTGGAGTAAGGGAGAATGAAGAAAACAAAAGACACAAGGGAACGATTAGTCCAAAGCAGTGATGGACCACAACTACTACTGCCTCTACCAGACTGAGCCGGACACAACTCGATAGCGCCCAGCTTCCAGCACTGACTGCTCTGACCAGGATCACAATAGAGGGTCCCGGACAGAGCTGGAGAAAAATGTAGAAGAAAATTCTAACTCACAAAAAGAGACCAGACTTACTGGCCGGACAGAGACTGGAGAAACCCCGAGATTATGGCCCCCAGACACCCTTTTATCTCAGTAATGAAGTCACTCCTGAGGTTCACCCATTAGCCGAAGATTATACTGGTCCATAAAACAAAACTAGATTAAAGGAGCACGCCAGCCCAGGGGCTAGGACTAGAAGGCAGGAATGGACGGGAAAACTGGTAATAAGGAACCCAAGGTCAAGAAGGGGAGAGTGTTGACATGTCATGGGTTTGGCAACCAATGTCACAAAACAATATGTGTACTAATTGTTTAATGAGAAGCCAGTTTGCTCTGTAAACCTTCATCTAATGTACAATAATAATAAAAAAAAAAAACCACATTAAATCAAGGGGGAAAATTCAGGACAGAATTTCAAATTCTCATCTAATCCACACATATATAACAAACCACACAGGAGCACAGTTATGAGGCTTCCTAGGCATATCTAAACAACTCACAGGATTAGTTTACTGGCTCAAGGGCCTTAGGACCAGAGTCTCTGGGGACAGTTTAATCAATTGGCATAACATAGTTCACAAAGATAAAGTTCTACATCCGAGTTTGGTGAGTAGCATCTGGGGTCTTAAAAGCTTGCTAGCTGCCATCTAAGATACAACTGTTGCTCTTTTCTTGTGTGGAGCAAAAGAGAATGATGGAAGTCAAAGGCTCAAAGAAGAAACTAGTCCATGAGACTAATAGCCCATATGAACCACAACCTCTTCAAACCTGAGACCAGAATTACTAGATGGTGCCCAGCTACCAATACCTACTGTTCTGACCAGGAACATGATAGAAGGTCCCAGATAGAATGGAAGAAAAATATAGAACAAAACTTAAATTCCTTAAAAAGGCCAGACCTCCTCAACTAAAAGAGACTAGATGAACCCCCAAGACTATTGTCCTAAGATAACCTTTGAAACTGGAATTAAAGCTATTTCTGTGAGTCACCTTTCAGTGAAATAATAGACTGGCTTATAAAATAAACAGTATCACCCATGACAATGGGTGCTTCCTTAGACGATGAATTACATGCAATCAAACAGCCAACATTTACCCAAAAGCAAAGATGAGAAGGCATGGAGGGTGTCTTAGTTATGTAGTGCTGCGGTAACAGAAATACCACAAGTGGATGGCTTTAACAAACAAATTTATTCTCTCCCAGTCTAGGAGGCTAGACCAAATTCAAGGTGCCAGCTCTAGGGGTAGTCTTTCTCTCTCTGTTGGCTCTGGGGGAAGGTCCTTGTCATCAATCTTTCCCTGCTCTAGGAGCTTCTCAGCACAGAATCCCTAGGTCCAAAGGTCGCACACTTCTGGCTCTACTCTCTTGGTTGTATGAGGTCTCTTTGTCTCTCTGCTCTCTTCTCTCTTTTACATCTCAAAAGAGATTGACTCAAGACTCAACCTAATCTTGTAGACTGAGTCCTTACTCATTAGCGTAACTGCCAATAATCCTACCTCATCAACATCATAGAGGTAGGATTTACCACACATAGGAAAATCACATCAGATCACAAAATGGAGGACAATCTCACAATACTGGGAATCATGGACTAACTAAGGTGATATATATTTTGGGGGGACACAATTCAATCCATGACAAAGGGGAAGGGAAGCTAGAATCAGTGGAAACAGAACAAACAGAACGAAAATAATGACTATGCTGACACATTGTAAAAATTGTAAACAATGTCATGGAAAATTTGTATAAAAATTGTTAAAGGGGAACCTAATTTGCTCTGTAAACTTTCACCAAAAACACAATAAAATATTTTTCAAAATTCCCATGGAATCCAGATTTTCTGGAGCCATGCAGGCTGGATGAACCAAAACTATTTCCCTGAGATAATCTTTAAACCCTAAACCAAAAATATCCCCTGAAGTCTTCTTAAAACCATACAATAAACTAAAAAACCAAACCCGTTGTCGTCAGGTCAATTCCGGTCTTCTTAAAACCACACGATACTTTAGCTTAACTAGTAAACAGTGTCTGCCTGGAGCATTGTGGTCTTTTAAGATCTATCTCTATGGGATCAAATTGACATCAGTAACTCAACAGATTAGATAGAAAACTGAGGGGCAGTGAGTTTATGTCCATGGGGGAGGAATAACTCAGAAAAGGAGAGCGAGAATGGTTGCACAACTCAAAGAATGTAATCGATGTCACTGAATTCTACATGTAGTAACAGTTGGGTTGGTGTGTGTTTTGCTGTATATATTCTCAATAACAGCAACAACATAAAATATATTATTAAAAAAGAATACATTAGATCAGTTTATAAAACAAACTTACATTAGATCAGTGAGGTGAGGTAATTTGTATGGATTCTGACTGATACTCTTATTTGTTCTCTGACAGAAAGAACATTTCCTCAAGGTAGAAAAGAAAAACAACTGGAATTAATCCATGGTGAGTAACCCTGGTGTTGTGCTGTGTCTTGGAGAGGCTGTCCGCCTTTGTGTCCAAATAATGCCTCCCACAGAACCACTGTGTAGTGCAAGCAGTCAACAAGCTTGGTGGCTAACTGAAAGACTGGAGATTCAAGTCCACCCAGAGGTGCTTTAGAAGAAAGGACTGGTGATCTACTTCTGAAAAACCAACCACTGAAAACCCTATCGGGCACAGTTCTACTCTGAAACACCTGGGGTCACCATGAGTCAGAGTCAACTTGATGGCAACTGGTTAATGCCTCCCACCCCTCTGATTTTAGCCAGGCTATGCCTGGGTGGGTGGGGGTATCCCAGTAGACACCAGCAGAGGGGGTGCACCAGAAAATATGACAGGCCCTGCACTGCAATGCTCAGAGTCTCATGGAGGAGACAGATGCCTCAAGAGCCATAACACAGACGGGACCACGAACAGGAAAGCACCACAGGCAGTGGGGACAGGGCTGGGGAAAGCCAGCAGGGGAGGAGGTGCTTTTGCGCTAGGCCTCTAAGATTGAGTGAGCTTCCACACGGCAGCAAAGGTGATGAGGGCATTCCAGGAGGAGGAAACAGCATGGGCAAAGGCACCTAGGGGTGCAAGGATGCAAGGAGTCCTCGAATGTGACTGGCAGCAGGCATAGGTGGAGGCAGGGAGTGGTGAGTGATAAGGTGGGGAAGAGAGGAGGTGGAGCAGGTCAGAGGGCCTGTGGCCGGAATAATGAGTTTGAACATTGTCCTGTCATTGTTGTTAGGTGCCACGGAGTCAGTTCCGACTCATAGTGACCCAATGTGACAGAGTAGAACTGCCCTATGGGGTTTTTCGGGCTGTAATCTTTTTTTTTAATTACTTAATTTTTTTAAAATGTACTTTCGATGAAGGTTTACAGAACAAACTAGCTTCTCATTAAACAGTTAGTATACATATTCTTTTGTGACATTGATTAACAACCCCAAGACATGTCAACACTCTCCCCTTCTCATTTTGAGTTCCCTATTATCAGCTTTCCTATCCCCTCCTGCCTTCTAGTCCTTGCCCCTGGGCTGGTGTGCCCCTTTAATCTCGTTTTGTTTTATGGGCCTGTCTAATCTTTGGCTGAAGGGTGAATCTCAGGCGTGACTTCATTACTGAGCTAAAAAGGTGTCCCGGGGCCATACTCTCGGGGTTTCTCCAGTCTCTGTCAGGCAAGTAAGTCTGGTCTTTTTTGTGAGTTAGAATTTATTTCTACATTTTTCTCCAGTTCTATCCAGGACCATCTATCATGATCTCTGTCAGAGCAGTCAGTGATGGTAGATGGCCACCATCTAGTTGTACTTGACTCAGTCTGGTGGAGGCCATGGTAGTTGTGGTTTATTAGTCCTTTGGACTAATCTTTCCCTTGTGTCTTTAATTTTCTTCATTCTCCCTTGCTCCCAAATGGGTAAGACTAGCAGAGTATCTTAGATGGCCACTCACAGGCTTTTAAGACCCCAGACACTACTCACTAAAGTAGAATGTAGAACATTTTCTTTATAAGCTATGTTATGCCAATTGAGCCAGAAGTTCCCCGAGACCATGGTCCCCACAGCCCTCAGTCCAGTAATTCAGTCCCTCAGGGAGTTTCAGTGTGTCTATGGAGCTTCCATGACCTTGTCTAGGCTGTAATCTTTACCAGAGCAGATTGACGGATCTTTTCTTCTCAGCAGAACCCTGTTGATACAGTGATTAAGTGCTATGGCTACTAACCAAAGGGTGGGATTGCAGTTCAAATCCACCAGCCGCTCCTTGGAAACCCTATGGGCCCTTCTACTCTGTCCCATAGAGCTGCTAGGAGTTAGAATTGGCTCGATGGAAATAAGTTTGTTTCTATTCAACGTAGGGTAGCCCCTGAATAGCGGGATGGCAGTATGGTTTTGTGATGACTTCCAAAGTCAGAGTGGGTGGCTACCAAATTTTTGTAATTTTGAAGGACTTCACCATACTTTTCCTCACAAGTTCCCACCAGAGGAAAATACTTCCTCCTCCAGTTTGTCCAAATGCAGGTCTTTGCTGGCTTAACAATTCATGTATTTGGTTCTTCAAGTCTCTGGCGTCTTTCAAAGATTCCATAAAATTGTTCATTACCTTAGAGGTCACACATGTTAAGCCGTCATCAGCTAAGGTGTGAGTTAGGCTGGTGGCATCTGAGAGCAAGGCCCTGAGGATTGAGGGTGCTGGCTGGTGGCTCAGGAGTCAGTAAAGGTGGGATGCAAAGTTAGAGTGGAGCCAGGATTCATAGCCTGGGCTGCTGCTTCCCAGTCAATTGGGGCAATGCAGATGTTGGCCTTTCCAAGAAAGACATGCCTCATACGCCGGTACTGGATGGAACAACACTTTACTCACATACAGAAGAGACAGAAAAAGGTCATCTTCCACAGTGAGCATTGGTCCCCAATGACCAGTGGATCTCTCTCCTCAGCTGACACAAGGAGATGGTCTGCATGCACCCCTCTTGTGATGTAGGAGAAGGATCCTGTTCCTTCCCTATAGGGATCAGACAGAGCAGTGGGCTTGGCCAGGTGCCATGTAACACACACACTTAGCTAAGCTGTTCCTGGGCAAGAGGGGAAGGATGTGTTAATAGGCCATTATCTACTATGGGATGTGTTTGGATCAAAATGACTCAGAAAAGGAGTCAGCCTATACTCTCATGTCGTACAAAAAGCCAGGCCAACGTAGCTGGTCCTAATCACAAGGTTCATTCATGGGTCACAGGGAAAGGTGGCAAGCTGTGCTGGCACTGACCCTTTCACAGTGGTGTTGACCCGCCCTTGAGTGAGAAAACATCTTTACGTAGGACAAAACAGCATCTTAAGATGATTTTTGCTTATTTATTCTCTTATTGAATAAGTACTATGGAGCATCTATGATGTATGAAACGTGTTAACATTGAAAGAAAAATTCTTTGCATTTGTAGAATTCTTTTCCATTATATTTATAGTAAAAGCTTTGTGATTCATGGAAAATAGATCTTATCAAACCCATTTTACAGCTAAACAAACCGTCTTTCTTAATTACTTGATCTTCATTGTTATAGGGATGAGGCAGATATTCTACGTGAAGCTCTGAACAAGCTCAGAATGGACACAGCTGCAGAAGACAAAGACATGCTTCAAAAAGAACTGCTGGATAGAGACAGGTTTTTGGATGAGTTTCCTATGGTGAAAATGGAGCTTGAGGAACGTATAAGGGAGCTTCATGCCCTTGCAGACAAGGTTGACAAGACACACAGGGACTGTACCATCTCCTGCGTTGTGGCCAATTCTGTCAGTGCCTTCTCTGGTGTCCTGACCATCCTTGGCTTGGCTCTGGCACCTGTGACAGCAGGGGTCAGTCTGTCGCTCTCAGCAACTGGGATGGGGCTGGGAACAGCAGCTGCTATCACCAGTGTTTCCACCAGCATCGTGGAGCACTCAAACAGGTTGTCAGCAAAATCCAAAGCCAGCAAGCTTTTGTCAACTGGCCACTGTGAAGGTGTTGTGAAGGCTGTGCTTCGGAACACAGCCAACCTTGTTGACACCACAGTGAGGTGCATCAGAAACTCGTCAAACATCAAGAAGAGTATGCATGTCATCAAGCTGGCCAAAGACAACCCTCACCTAGTAGCCGATGCCAGGTGTCTCATGACCACTGGGAAGATCTCGATCCAGAGTGGTAAGCAGGTGCAGAAAGCCTTTGGAGGCACCATTCTGGCAATGAGCAAAGGAGCCCGGGTTATGGGTATGGCCACCGCAGGTTTCTCTCTTCTGGTGGACGTGTTCAACCTTGTGCAAGAGTCAAAGCACTTGCATGAGGGAGCGAAGGCAGAGTCAGCTGAAGAGCTGAGGGAGAAGGCTCGGGAGCTGGAGAGGAAGTTAGAGGAGCTCACCAAGATCCATAAGAATCTGCAGTAGGGACTGACTCAATGACCCCCCGAGCAGTGCTGGGAGCAGGGGTGGTTGTCACCAGTATGGAAGCATTTTATTCGAGGGAAAAAGAGGTAGAGATAAAATACAGAACTGAGTATTAATGGAGTTTGACCTTTCTGTAGCAGACTATGGCAAGGGAAGGGTTAGTGGAGATGGAAGGTGGGTTTCAAGACAAGGCAGAAAATGGAATCATGGAGGCTGGATGTACGCCCAGAATTGCCCTGAGATAATCTTTAAACCTTAAATCAAAAATATCCTCTCAAGTCTTCTTAAAAATATCAAATAGCTTTAACTTGTAAAGGTTGTCTGCCTCGAGCATTGTGCTCTTTTGACATCTATCTATATGGGATCAAATTGCTAACAGTAACTCGAAAGATTAGATAGGAAGCTTGGGGGGCAGTAAGTTTATGTGAACGCGAGAGGAACAACTCAGAAAAGGAAGGTAAGAATGGTTGCACAACTTGAAGAACGTAATCAATGTCACGGAGTTCTACCTGTAGAAACTGTTGGATTGGTGTATGTTTTGCTGTGTATATTATCAACAACAACAAAAAAAATAAAAATTTAAAAAAAAGATAAGGCAGGAAAGCTGGGGATGAAATGAGAGGGGAGAGGGGACTAGAGAGTGAGAGGAATGGGAAGAAACAGTTTATTCTGAACCACAGAAGACATTGGGAGCGTGAGTGGAGAGGGAGACATGGAGGAAGAAGCAATGAGAAAACTAAAGAGTTGGAAAAGGGAGAAAGCCGGAGTTAGAATTGTTGGACTATAGGAGAGGTAGCAGTGGCTCCATTACTGACCCTCCCCATGGTCTGATGTCCTAGCAAGAGTGAAGACTTTCCCAGGTGGTGGTCTCTAGCCCTATCTTTCCAGTATCAACTCACTCTTGTCTTTCAGCGGGTTTATCTCAGTCAGGCAGTGACTTCTTGATCATGATGATGATGATGGTGGTGGTGGTGATGACAACAGAGTGAGTAGAGCCTTTTTCAAGTCAGCAGCCCTTTTTGAGTCAAGGGTGCACTGAAGGACCAATGAAGTTCCAAAGAAACTCCAAATGTTATGTTGGAACAGTGGTTGGTTTGAAAAAAATGTGAAAGTAGATGTCGGAGACATGCCAAGGAGCCTTGTGGTATGTGATGGAGATCAACCAGCTTGGAATCAAGATACACAACTTCTCTAGCCTTGATTTCCTCATCATTTGGGAGAAGGATGGTAGGAGAAGACACTATCTTAGATCCTTCTGGCTCTCCCCATCTTGGCTTCTGTAGACTTCGGTTCAATAAATATTGATTGATGCCCTGAGCTCTTGCTGTGTTGACTGATTGTCTCCCTTGGGCTCTGGATGCCTGACTTCCCTTCCCCATGAGCCTGCCTTCCAGGATGTCAGGGAGCAAGTCCCCCGTGCTGCTCCTGCTCACTCCCTGGTCTCCCAATTCCCCAACTAGTCATTTCCCTCAGGCCCAGCACCCAGCAGGCCCCACTGGGGGACTGTGGAGAAACTTGTACATGTCTGACTTGGGCTTAACACAGGTGTGTTTTTGGTCCAGCAGTCAGGGCCCAGGATGGACACAAAGCACATAAGTCTAATTAGGAATCAGAAGGGCCTGTCTGCATGTGTGAGGGAGGGTCAGAGATGGATGGACAGAGAGAGACAGCCAGACAGCAAATATTCTCATCCAGGCTATCCTCACAATTCACCTAGAGTCTTGTAAGAGCTTCTAGAATAGTCTTCTTGTGATTACCTGCATGGCACGGTCCCTGCCCACTGCCCGTTCTCCTCACTGGACCAGAATGACCCTTAAGAATATAGATCTCATCAAGCACCTGCCTCCACCCCTTCAATGGTTTCCTATTACCGTTTGTGCAGAAACCCATAAGCCTCCATTAGCCTAGAGTAGCCTAAAGTTGCAGTGTGTTTCCCTGACAGTAGAGCCAGAGGCAAGGCTCACATGCAGGTGCTTTATTTGGGAAGTGATCCCTGGAAGCACAAGTGAGGGGCTGAGAAAGTGATGCAAGGAAGGAGGGAATGTTAGTACAAGGACTTGTCCTTGATTTGGTTACCCATGTGGGTGACTGCTGAGCCCTGTTGGCACGGTGGTTAAAGTGCTTGGTTACTAACCAAAAGGTTGGCAGTTCGAACCCAGTAGCCACTCTGTGGGAGAAAGATGTGGCAGTCGGCTTGCTTCCATAAAGATTTATAGCCTTGGAAACCCTAGAGGGCAGTTCTACTCTGTCCTGTAGGGTTCTATAATTTGAAATCGACAGGACAGCCCTGGGTTTTTGTGGGCGATTGAAGCTTGAGTCTGTCAGGAACTTCTGAGGATGTCTTCAGAATTGTCCTCTCCAGGGAGGAAAGTGGAAGCATTTAACCATTGCTTCCACCCCTAAAGTGCATTAATGCTCTGAATTTCCATGTTGTGGAGCATGTGAGTGCTGAGTTGATTCCCCTGACTGGAGCCCAGGGCAGGAAGTTAGAGACTCAGCCCATTAAAATCATCCTGGAAAATCTAAGTCACTCACAAAGTGCATTCAGTACTTTATATGTCTTGTTTTGATTGTGGTAAACATGCATGTAACAAAAATTTGCCATTTCAGCAATTGTTTATGCCCTTCTGTCTATAGAATCCTGCAGAGGATTTTTCTCTGTCCCTCTAACTCTCAATCAGCAGATGTTTCCCTGAAGCCTTCAAACATTTCTTCAATTTCTTCCCGAAGAAGTCAACAGAGCCATGGCCACCCACTTGCCTGATCACCTGAACAATATGTGCTTCGCTTCTTTGTCAATTCTTCATCGATCCTTTGATAAGCCACATTCTTTTGTAGATTTCACCTGGGCATTGACAGTTTCCGGCACTGAGCAATTAGTAATTGAGCCATTTAGTAATTCATGAATCCTTTTCCCTCTTAAAATTTATAGTTCAATTCCATGATGCTAAATGTGTATTTGATACTATTCTACTGTAATAGTATCATCAGTTGGGATTCTTTTGGTTGCAAGCAACAGGAACTAAGCCTGGCTAACATAGGCAAAAAAGAGAATACATTGGAAAGGAACAAGGACAATTCACAGAATGGAAAAGAGCACTAAATCTACACAACTCGGGAAGGACAAGAATCAGGGCAAGTTCAACATCAGGAACATATAGTGAGTCCCTCATGGGCCCTGCCATCAGATAGCCTACATCCAAACACCTTGAATCCACCTTGAATTTCAGTGTCTCTGATTAAAATCTCAAATTCCCAGCAAAGAGAAAAGCTTGAGTCAGTTGACTATATTCTTGGACCAATCAGTCAGGCCAAGGACCAGGAAGAGGAATGGATAACAGGAACATAAACCCTGAGGGGAATGTCACAGGTCAAGTAGCAACCTGAATTTGTGCTTACCACATGTAGTCCACCCTTTAGCTGTCAATCACCCTTCTTCTCATACAACCAGAAATGAGTCTCCTTCACCTGTCTTGGATTCAACTACACTGTTTACAATGGCAAATGCACTTACCACTTCACTAATTAAAGACAAATCCAAATTATCCCCATCAACTACATCCTTGTCTTAGGCTGCGTTCTCTAGAGAAGCAAAACCAGTAAGGTATGTATAGATATATATTTAAATATTTACACATATAAAGATTATGTCAAGGAAATGGCTCACAACGTTGTAGAGGCTGGATCTTCCCAATTCCGTGGGTCAGGATACAGGCTTCTCCTGATTTGTAGCTACACGGGCTGGTGAACCCAAGATCAGCAGGTTGGAGAGCAGGGCTCTTGCTCACTGGCTGTGAAGATTGATGAATGCCAAGATTGGCTGGCAAGACCACAGGTAAGCTACTAGCTCAAGTCCCAAGAACCAGAGGTCAGACGAACAGGGGCCAGCTGCAGGATCCAGCTGGAGTAAGAAGACCCCAATTCATACTAGAATGTCTGCTTATATCTGATGCAGGCCACATGCCCATGGAAATTCCCTTTCAACTGATTGGCTACTCACAGCAGATCTCATGGGGGTGATCACATATGAGATCTCAACATGGAAGTGATCACAACATTATACAACTGCCAAAACATTGAGATCATGGCCTAGCCAAGTTAACAATCTTAACCATCACAATCCTGAAATTATGTCATAGAGTGAAGGACCCTCAGCATGTTGTCAGATTTGCTTTGGCTCCATTAGGCTCTTGTGCTGATATTTTGCATATATGTATATGTATGTGTGTGTGTGTATATATATATATATGTATATGCATATATGTATATATATATACAAGAAACAACAGGAAGCCTGGTAGTGCTATTTGTTTGCTGAATAATGGCTCCCCAAAGATATTCAGGTCTTAATCCCCAGAATCCAAGAGTATGTTGTACTTTACATGGCCAAAGAGACTAAATTAAGAATCTTGAGATGGAGAGATTATTCGGGATTATCCCAATGGGTCCAATGTAATTCCAGGGTTCTTGTAAAAAGGAAGCAGACGGTCAGAGTAAAGAAAAGTGAGGTGATGATGGAAGCAAGGGTTGAAGATACTATGCTGCGGGCTTTGAAGATGGAGGAAGATACCACAAGCCAAGGACTGTGGGTATCCTCTAGAAGCTGGAAAGGGCAAAGAACGGCATTCTCCTCTAGAGTCTCCAGAAGAAACACAGTCCTGCAAATACCTTAATTTTAGGACTTTTGGCCTCTAGAACTATAAAAGAATAAATCCGTGTTGTTTTAAGTCACTAAGTTTGTGGCATAAGGCATTGGTGGTCCAGTGGTAGAATTCTCCCCTTCCATGCAGGAGACCTGTGTTCAATTCCCAGCCAATGCATCTCATGTGCAGCCACCACCCCATTTATCAGTAGAGGCTTGTATGTTGCTAGGATGCCGAACAGGTTTCAGTGATGCTTCCAGACTAAGACAGATTAGGAAGAAATATCTGGTACTCTCCTTCAGAGAATCAGCCAATGAAAACCTTTGGATCACAGCAGTCACATTTCCAACCCATCATGGAAATGTTGCACGACCAGACAGTGTTTTGTTCTGTTGTATATGGGGTTGTCATGAGTCATGGCCGACTTGACGGCAGCTGACAACATCAACAACAAAGTTCGTGGTGATTTGTTAGAGCTGCAACAGGAAATGAATACCCCTTCCCCATCGGTGCCCTAATTTTCACTTCTCAGGTCTAGTGAAGGCTGAGTTCATCATGAGAATCAGAAATCTGCAGAATCAGTCTTTGAATCTGGTTGTTATAGGAGAGTCTTTCAGCTGAAAGCATCAACAGCCAGAATTTAGTTCATGCCTCGAGGGGAATTTTGAAGATTTCCGCCAGGTGTTTGTCAGTAGCCTTAGAAGCAACCATTCTACTCCTGTCCCAGCGTTCCTCATTCCCTTTTCACTGCTCAACAGCCCCTGCTACCCAGAAAGCTGAGGAAAGGTGTTTCACCACTGCCTTGTC